ACTGCTTAATAATGGAATAAATAATGAATGATAAAAAAAATTTATCAGAACCAGATGAATATATAGTAAGCCTATATGAAAGACAATAATAGTCTACTTGTATAGTTGCATGACGGTTAGATATATCCCGAACGTTTCATGGCCGTTTAAATGTCTCCAAGAATGATTTTATGATACTTTTAAAAACTCAGCCATAATCAATAATTTTTCTCGATTGTTCTTGATGATCGTTTGTTATAAATATCTTTGCGTGAATGGTAATTGACGATCAGTCTTGAAACATTTTATGGATCGAGGAATTTATTTCACTCATAGTAATGAAGTCAATATTCACAATTGTAAGAATGGGTAACTGAACTTTAGATATTCTTTTATATTCATTGAAAATCATGTTTACGAAAATCCTATCATTAGTTCCTTTAATGAAAAGTTCTTGCTCATGTTCAACATTTTTACGCAACGTTGTTATATATTAAGCATAAATTTCGAATTATTTTGTCATTTCAGTTCTACAGCGATATGATAATAAGCATTATCTCATTCAGGCTTTTGCTAACATATAGTTGATCATACATATCAACACACTGCTTCTGATTCACGAGCGAGATTACAATAATTTAAAAAATTCGTACAATGTAGCTACTATTGTTTGTTTGATTTGAATTTTTATGAAATTTATACTTTGAAACTGTCTTACAAATACTTAAGAATTAGTGCCGTTGCTATTTAAATATATTTATTAATAATGCAAAACGGTATAGTCTACGAGCAATATAAAATGAAATATACTATTTTTTAAGATGCAATAAGTCGCAGCTAACATGAAAAGCCTCCTTCAATAACTCTCTTAAAACAATTACAGTGTGCTGTATATTACAAACAACTCTAAAGTATTGAGATGTTAACGTCTAGATCCTGGATAAAAGTAAAAAAAAAAATAATAATCATTTTTACGTTGTCATCGATTTTGAAATGGATGCTTAGAATTAAACAGAGCAGCTTTCGATTCTAGATTTCAGGATAGATTTGAAAACATTGTTTGAACGGCGACACATTCGACTGGTATAATTATTTTTATTTTATTATTTTTTTTGTTCTAAAGAAAATTTTTAGAAGTAGAAGAGTGATAGAATAGATTTTTCGGGGTAGAACCCCAAAAACAGACAAAATTGCATGAAAAAGGTATAGTGTCTTGGTACTAGTGGAAATTACCCTGGCACTTCTCCTCCCTCAGAGCGTATGAGATTATTCTTTAACGAACCGAAGTGAACGTATATCATGTAAATTGTGCCTCATATATATTTATATATACTGCGACATATATTTGTATACCTCGTCTTCAGAATGCTGAGTGTTAACTGATATTTTAAATTAAATTTGAGCATTCGGTATAGTAATAACAATTTTAATATCTATTTCTATTATTATACAAAAACATAGTAAATGTCTGCGTGATAAATTATGCAAAATTCAGCAGATCGTATGTGAAATAAAATTGATAATTTCCTTTTGATGAATTGTCTCAACTAATATTCTTAGTAATATTTAAGAGTTCATTAACATTGTCTAATCGATAGTAAGATATATAACTTCCTTATTCTTAAATATTTATTCTTGCCAAATAATTATTCTAAATTTTTATTGCAAACGATTAATATTTTACTTATAAAATTCTTAATGTGAACTTTCGATGAGAAAAAAATCATGGAATTTTAGTTAAATAATTTTTCTTAAATAATTGATTTAATTACAATATTAATTTAAGAAATTTATTCTCAGAACTTTTTACTAATTAGAAAAAGTTTATTTTTCCATACTTTAAAATTTTGGGAATTAAATTAAGAAAACCCAACGAGAGAATTCAAACTGGAATTGAATTAATACTGTTCTTCAATGTAATTACCGTTTAGAAACGTTATCTTGCTTTTTTAAGTCACAATTTTTAAATAATATAAAATTACTCGATTAATATACAGTTACTTATTATATTTATTAATTGTATAGTCTTCTAATAAAATGCAGGTCCTCTATAATTAATCAGTACTATAAAATACTGATTAATTATAGTGGACCTTGAAAATCGTCAATCTTATAAATTCCATCTAAAATTAAACACAAAATTTAAATTATAGAGAAAAGTATGCTTAAATTATTCACGCCGGTTTAATTGTAACTAATGTTTAAAATATAATTTTAATTATTTATTCATAAAATTCTCTTTGAGAACACCTATTAACATAAATAATAACGTGAATATGTTAATAAATATTTATTAACATATTCACATTACTTCTACAACAAAGATTAAAACCATCATTACAAATTTATAATACTTTTTATTATAACATTATTTTTTATCCACATCAAGCCCGAGTAATTTCAAGAAACATTAAATTAGAAAATATAAAATTATTTTTTGAATTAAAAATTACTGAATATATTTCTCATAAACATTTTAATCTTAAAAAATAAATTGTTTAATTTAAATCAAATCATTCCTTTGCATTTTTACAAACTGATGCAATTTTAAAAATCATATTTTGTTAAGAAGTCAATTATAAAAAAATATTTTAAATATTAATATCAGCAGATTTCAAAATGTCAGACATTTTATGTTAAAGGTTTTTGTTATTCAGTAAGCAAAAACTGACTTGATATGAATTATTTTTGTCATTTATTATATCAGATAAAGTATCGAATATACTCTTTTGAGTTATTGCATTTCCCTTTAAAACCTGCAACCCACTTTCTTGAAGATGAATTAGTTATAATTCAGCAATAACCATTGAATAAGTCCAAAAATGTTTTTTACATATAAATAATGCAAAATTTTCTGTACCTAATAGAAACAAAACGATGAAACTTTTTGGAATGCAATTTGAAAGAATTTATAGGCCAACAATTTTTTTCAAATTGCAGAAAAGTACAGAGGCAAGACACTACAGTATTAGTTTGAGGTGGCGAGCATATATTTTAAATTAAATAAATTAAAAATATGATTAAAAATTGCAGCTCGGCATTGTGACAATGTCACAATAAATGACTGCTCGTATTAGTTACATTTTTTTATTGTACCAATTCATTAAATTTCATCTAGAAAACTCTTATAAAGACTTTTAATTTGCGTTTAACACAATACAATATAATGAACATAATGACATTTTTTACCTTGAAAGGAGAAGTATAATTAACAGATATATCATTACATCAATACTAATGAAGATTGAATACCTAGATCTACTTCTATTATAATTGAATAATGTCATAACATTTACACTCAGATAGACATCTAAGAGAGGGGGAAAATTCGTTAATTTTATGTTTTATGAACTCTCTGAAAAATCTATCATTAAAACGAGAAAATATAGGTTAATAATTAAATATGTAGACCTATAATTTATCAAAACATAAAATATGGGTCAGTTAGAACAAAGGTTAAATGTCGTAAATGCCGACGTAATAAAAAAGTTGTAATTTTTATTTTTAAAAATAGTAATTAAAGGAATTGTTGCTTTTAAATAGTGTACATGCTATATTTACATTATATAGACTTCGGAAATGGTTATATCATGCAATAAATTAGTAGTTTAAGCAAAGAAGTCACACCCAGATCATATTCAATATCATCGATCAATACATAAGTTATTGTTCCGTATTTCGAAATTACTCTATTAATCAAAAATCCTCATAATTAGAAAAGAATTTTAAATACAATTAAATTTACAGGGTCAATTTTACGAATTTTTATTTTTCTCATCAGACAATTTAGAATGAACATTAAACTGATTTTCTGACTGAGAGAAATATTTCAAGAGATCAAAAAAATCATTCTTGCGCAAAATGAAAGTAAAACTGCCTACTTAGAAATTAAACTATTAAATTTTAAATGGTTCTCCACCCAAAATACCAAGTAAGTAGGCCTAAAAAATTTTCTAAAGCGCACGATCTCTTAATAGGTGGAGCATAACACATTTTAACAAATGCCAAATATATATAATTTTAATATTCTGCCAAACTTTAAATTAATCGATAAGTACAACACTGAAACAGAAAACGTATACAATTCAGTTTGAATTGAATTTATTATTTTATTTTTTATATGCTTTATGTTAAAATAATTTTTATTATAAAATTAATATATTTTTAAAATTGTATTTTAAAATTAACTACAAAATATTAATAAAATAGATGGAGTTTCCAACGTTATATAGATTTGACTATTATAATACTTTTATATACTTTAATTTGATCTATTTTATTAATATTTTGCATTTGATAATTTCCGTGCTTAAAGGAAATAATGCAACAAGTGAATAAACGGAATTAAAAAATTTTGTCCATTATTTTAATGATTTGAGCAATGTTTCCCAACTTTTAACGTACACGTATCCCTTTAGAGACCTTGATCTCATTAACTTACCTATATATCAACCTCAGCTGTATTGAGCATGATATAATACGTAAATTTCTTTTTTCAAATTTTAACCTTTCAACATAAAATAACAGGTGCTTGTCGATTCATTAATTTGTTGAATTTCTCCGTTCTTATCTGTTGATACGTGTATATGATTTAGATGTAATTGCACTGTACATGAAATTAATTAATTTTATTGGTAGCAAATAAAAATACTGATAGACGAATTTCGAAGATTTTTGCTGTCTAAATGTCAGAATTTATACTGAGCGAATAATCTTTAATTAATGATTAGATGTATAATCCGAACAAACATCATTGAATTTTTTTTAAAACAATTTATCTTTTTTAAGTGAGATTCAAAAAATTCGCAATGCTCTTGGACTGGACATCATTAGTGTTATGCACATCACGTTTTATGAAATTTGTAATGTTTGAATATTTATTAGCATATAAATTCTACAAAATATATTACATACAATAAAGTTTTTATAATGTAACTTTATTCAATTTCCTAACATTAATTCGTATATTATTTTTCACATAATATTAAATCAAATAAAAAATTATCTTTTATTTCGCTTACCTTTCTGTAATTCCAATCATTCTGGGTTTCGGCTTGTAAATCGTGTACAGTTTTCACATTTCCATCGAAAGCATTGCTAGTCCTATTCGTCAACCTGGTTATCTCGACGGGAGGCAAAACTGACGGTTTTATCTCTTCTCTGAGATCGAGTCCATTGCCGAGACCAACATCATTTATTTGGCCAATTTTCGTTCTATCCGAAACTACGGAGTTCATATTAGAAAAAATGCTATCGATGTCTAAGGACAAATCATCATTTGGCACTGACTGAGTTAAATCTCGAGTTCTTTCAATCACTTCATTCTCGGAAACGGAAACAACCTCTTCCACCTCTTCCGTCACCCTGGGATCTTGCTGTTCAACTTGCGGTACTCTGAGAATTTCTTGAGTATTCGGTTCGGGAGCCTTCTGAATATCTGGGGTTTTGACTGCCTCTCGAGATCGACTTGAGCCAGTCCCCATCTTTTCTAAGAGAAACGAAAAATAATATGCAATCCATTAAATAACGGGAGATGGACATCACTCATGCACTTGCTCTTCGACGACAACATTAGCCACCTGGTGGTAAAAGTCGGAAATCAATTTTTTTTAAATTAATATAAATATATTAAGTTGANCAAAATAACTACAATATAAAATTTTAGTTCGTGATTCAATATTCATAAATGCAATATTATCGAAACAAATCAATAAAATATATTATTAATATTTTTCTCTATATCTTAATGCCGATACGACTGTAATCTTCAAGAATTAAAATAAATAGAGATTTGACTAGAATATATTGAAATAGAAGTGGCGGGAGTGTGTGATTTTTAAATAAACATTCTTATCAAATGATTTGTTATTACGTAATAAATTTATTTTCTTATTTTCTTATAACGATAAGATTAAAATAAATTTATAAAGCAAAATTAACATGTAAAATTTGTGTATTACGTTAAGTTTTTATAGAGTTTTGTAAAGAACTTAAATCTTTTAATTAAAAGAGACAGTCGAGTGACATTCAGATCGTTCAGTATTGATATTCAGTCAATTAATATCAAAGTTTCCAATTACTTGTATTAATATAAGTCTGTTCTATTTATAGCATCGTTGCGTTTAAATAGGTTAACATTTTCAAAGCGTGTGCTTTATTAGGAGTCACGACCGCTTACAGAGAAGATAGATAGGACACGCATCGAAGCCCGCGATCTCAGGAAGTCTGTGAATAGGAATCGTAATAGAGCTCCACTATGGGGCCACAATTTGTCAGGAGTCTTATAATGTTTTAAGCGGATCCCTGTTGAATAGGATCAGATTTATGCATAAAGCAAACAATAGCATTGAGTTTTACGCTACGAGACTACAGCATGCTCGAACTTTTTTTTTTATTGATTAATATTCAATAAAAGGATGAATTCTTATATATTGCAGCTTAAGATTATATTGACTATAAATATGATCCCGTTGTTGGGAGAAAAATATTTTATTTTATTCACTGTAATTTATACTATTACAGTATATCCTTGTTAACGTAGCAATTTGTCATTTTTCTCTTCATTTGTCTTCATAAAAATTCATTTAATTAATAGTTATAACTGAGAAACACGTATCCACTGAATAGATAATTTCATTAGTTATTAAAAGTTAGAAGTCACAATTTCCGGTACAATTTTAATTCTGCTTTAAATATTTCGTGTTTCTTGTTATAATTCTTGATAAATTGTCNTAATTTTTATTAGTAAAAATATACGTGAAATATTACGTAATAAATTTATTTTCTTATTTTCTTATAACGATAAGATTAAAATAAATTTATAAAGCAAAATTAACATGTAAAATTTGTGTATTACGTTAAGTTTTTATAGAGTTTTGTAAAGAACTTAAATCTTTTAATTAAAAGAGACAGTCGAGTGACATTCAGATCGTTCAGTATTGATATTCAGTCAATTAATATCAAAGTTTCCAATTACTTGTATTAATATAAGTCTGTTCTATTTATAGCATCGTTGCGTTTAAATAGGTTAACATTTTCAAAGCGTGTGCTTTATTAGGAGTCACGACCGCTTACAGAGAAGATAGATAGGACACGCATCGAAGCCCGCGATCTCAGGAAGTCTGTGAATAGGAATCGTAATAGAGCTCCACTATGGGGCCACAATTTGTCAGGAGTCTTATAATGTTTTAAGCGGATCCCTGTTGAATAGGATCAGATTTATGCATAAAGCAAACAATAGCATTGAGTTTTACGCTACGAGACTACAGCATGCTCGAACTTTTTTTTTTATTGATTAATATTCAATAAAAGGATGAATTCTTATATATTGCAGCTTAAGATTATATTGACTATAAATATGATCCCGTTGTTGGGAGAAAAATATTTTATTTTATTCACTGTAATTTATACTATTACAGTATATCCTTGTTAACGTAGCAATTTGTCATTTTTCTCTTCATTTGTCTTCATAAAAATTCATTTAATTAATAGTTATAACTGAGAAACACGTATCCACTGAATAGATAATTTCATTAGTTATTAAAAGTTAGAAGTCACAATTTCCGGTACAATTTTAATTCTGCTTTAAATATTTCGTGTTTCTTGTTATAATTCTTGATAAATTGTCTAAATTATTCATAATATTTTAAAATATTTATAAACACGAATAAAGGAATTGAAAAAAAATTATTGTAACAATAGAAGCTATTAAAAGTTGTTCGTTTTAGTACAGTACATTAGATCTTAGAAAAGTGAAGAATTATCAAATAAATTTTAATAATTTAATAACGATTTTATGAATTTATCAAATTTAATTCCACAAATGAAATCACACAAAACTTAACTATTTAAGTTCAAATTTAAAAAATAATTTAGTTATAAAAAATTTATTTATATCGTATCGAGAAGTTTCAGTTACAAAAAAACTAAATACATAGCTAATACTAATTAAATACATAGTAATTTTTTACATTGTTTCTCTTATTTTATGTATTAGAAAACAAAACTAAACAAACATTTAAAACTAGATGTTTCTTAAGAAGTGTATTTATACATTTTGTCCTTGATTTAATATTTGACGGGGGGAAATACAAAATAAAATAAAACGATACGAACGAAGAAAACTTGTTACGATTTGTAAACAAACTTTTTCTGTACTGTATGAACAAATAAATATGAAAGAAGTTTGCAATCACGCAAAGATTTATCACTAAATAATAAAATTTTATAAATATATTTCATATATTGTGTTTTACCCTAAATTTAACAACAATAAAATAAATGCAATTAAAGAAAATTTTACTTAGGAATTTATCTAGTATTACATCGAGTCCAAAGGAAAAGTTTACACGTAAAAGTGAATTTCGAAATTTAAAAAAAAATTATGAAATATTTAAATAATACTGTAGATTGACATATAATTAGACATAAAATTAATCGATGGCATACAACTAATCGATAATTTCGACGAAAAATTAAAAACGGCCGCGTGCAATCGTTTCCAGAATGCACGACTGTATCGAAACTATATTGCACAGACCTGTTGCTAAGGTGACTACATTCGATGATTTGAATGCAATAATTTTTCGAATATTAATAACATTATATTATAATATTCTCCCACTTTAAGTTTTCATACTGTTCTTGCAATACAATTATAATATCAACAGCTGAAGTATTGATAACTTGCATAAAAATAACATAACACATTTTATCGACTTATATACTATAAGAAATAAATTATTGATAAAATTTTCAACTCTCTCTTCAATAACTCTACTCAAATTGCATTATTATTATGATAATTGTTTTCAATTTGAATTTGATTTTATCCAATCTTCTGAAGCTTGTAATTATTGATCTTTATTCATTTTATTGATTTTGATGAGTTTTTATTAGCTCTCTCTTCCTTCAAACGTCCTCTTTCCTAAATTTTTCAGCCATTAAGTAATCAAAATAACTACAATATAAAATTTTAGTTCGTGATTCAATATTCATAAATGCAATATTATCGAAACAAATCAATAAAATATATTATTAATATTTTTCTCTATATCTTAATGCCGATACGACTGTAATCTTCAAGAATTAAAATAAATAGAGATTTGACTAGAATATATTGAAATAGAAGTGGCGGGAGTGTGTGATTTTTAAATAAACATTCTTATCAAATGATTTGTTATGACTACAATTCCACAATGTTCGAATGCAAATCACGCAATGCGGTAATCGTATAACCAGTAAAAAGGTAACGTTGAATTTCAATATNTAAAATATATTATTAATATTTTTCTCTATATCTTAATGCCGATACGACTGTAATCTTCAAGAATTAAAATAAATAGAGATTTGACTAGAATATATTGAAATAGAAGTGGCGGGAGTGTGTGATTTTTAAATAAACATTCTTATCAAATGATTTGTTATGACTACAATTCCACAATGTTCGAATGCAAATCACGCAATGCGGTAATCGTATAACCAGTAAAAAGGTAACGTTGAATTTCAATATATTTGAAAGGCAAACCGTCATTGTGTTCTACGTAAAACAGTAGAATTAGAATAAAAATATTTTTGTGATTTGCCTAGCTGATCAGAAATTCGTATGAAATATTTTAAAGAAAAATTATTTTTAAAACAATTATGCAATCAGATGAATACATAAATTGGAGCTGAGACCAAAATTAACTTTTTAAAATTAATTTATTTTTTAATTTATTTTGAAATTTTAATAATTTCAAAATAAATTAAATTTTATTTTCTATTTAAGCTCGTTTTAAAAATATAATCACTAACATAATTTAAATTATGTTTATAATTTAAACGCTTCAGGGATTCTCTTATATTTAAAAGTTCGGATGTAAAGCAGAGAAAACAAAACCTACTCGAAACTTATTTAAAAAATATGTTACATATTTGCATCGATGTAGTTAAAATTGTAAATAAAAAGTATATAATTGGAAAATTAAGAAAAAAAAAGTTATACTGTATTTAATTAAAACTTTTAATTCCAAATAGAAAATATATAAGTATAAGCTATGGACTAATAGAAAAGAAGCTAAATTCATTCAAAACGAACAGTACATTTCGCGTGGATTCAATTTTCCTATGAATACTTAATTCCACTGTGACAATTAAAGTGCGTAGAATTTATTCTGTGTTACATGTAGTTTCTAATAAAGTAAATTTTTATGTTCTTGAATCAATACAGAATTGTGGTCATAAATTTTGTGTTTTAGATATTTTGAAAACAAAAAGTTTAGAAGAAATAAATCTAATATTATAAGTAACTATTCAATAAAATCTCTCTATCTAGTTCATTTTTCTAAGTAATTGTTGTTTAATCAAACTATTACTCCCATTCTACGTAAAAATAATATTAATTATTTATTTTGATGATGTCATTGCCATGGGCCATCAAAATAAGGATTTATTATACTTTCCTCATTTTTTAGTTTCTGAGAATCAGTAACGATTTTCTTAATTTCAATGGCATATTAACACGATCAAAGAGAAAAGAAAGATTATTTCATTCAAAAAAGTTATTGCTTAAATTAGGATTTCGTTATATTGTCATTGA